CAGCCCACACCCATCTTGGATATCCCCCCCCCTCGAGGAGCCCCCCCCCCCCATTTTCTCTTCCTCACAAGGCCCTCCCCCCCCCCCAGTGCCCTGATCTCTCTCACACCCAAGTTCTGCAAAGCTGAGATTTAGGAGACTTCCCACCCCAACCCCCCCATTTCTCTTCCAAAAGAGAAAATGTCACACACACACACACACACACACACACACACACACACACACACCCGCCTCCTCCTGACGGGCCTGCTGCCCCTTCTTGCTAGGAATAGTGAGAACGGCCGGGGGCGAAGACTTTGCCCAGTTCGGATTCCTTCTCCCCCGACGTTATCTTGAAGTTCCTCCGTCTGTAGGCTGGGGCCGCTGCTGCCTCGGAGAAAACCCTGCCCAACAGACGTGAAGCCGCAAACCAGCCCGGCTCCCGAGGAGACTCCCGCGGGGGAGGGAGCCCTCCCTGGCATCCCCTCTGACTGTTCCCTCCCTGCCCTGCTGCCCCACAGTTCCTGCTCTGCTCAGGGACCCCCTTTTTGCAGGCCCTGGTCGGGATACGCGTGTCCGACCCCGCCCCGCCGCATCAAACCCCAGACCCGGTCACTGGGGGTGGAATATTCTCACGGAGAGGGGCCTGAAGACCTTGGCTGGGGGGCGGGGGGGTGCCCACATATGTATATATGTAGTTTTATTTATTAATTTAAACTAAAACATGTTCACTTGGGGACTAGACGACCCTTTGAACTCTACAATTCTATGATTCTGCGAAAACTAAGATGAAGCCTACACAAATGCACACAGAGGGTACCAATTCGCGCTGCTTCACTCGCATTCCCTGAAAAAGGGATTAACTTATTTATTAAAGTTGGTGTTGTGAGGGAGAGAAACATTGTGAAAATATTGATTCATCTGTAAATATCAGGGAAATTGCCCTCGAGGTCTGATGTTCTCACATAAAGCTGAAAAGTCACTCCAAGATCCACATGGAAGCATATGCCACAGGAAGCTTTTGAACATAGTTACTATTGCCCATATACAAAATAATATTTTGCCACGTGGTTGAAAATGATCCCCCCCCCGTTTGTCCTCTAGCACGCCTTGAATTTTGAGTTAATTTTTCTGCAATAGCTACGGACTAGATTTGATTACATCGTAAATTCTTATTCCTCTAAATTTCTCCATTATTATTATTTTTTGCAATAGCCATTCTTGTGAGTCACAATATAAACACAGAATCCATCTTTATCCAAACATCTTTGCTTGACCCATCCCATTGTGGTTGAGTTTATAAATTGATTTCTAGGAACATCCCCTCCCCAAAGCTGCCCTGAGTGACACTCCCACTGTGAGTGGAAATACTACAGTGCTCTTTGATGTTTTTCCCCCCAGCACCGGCATTTTGGGGACAGACCAGGGTTAATGTGTGATACAATGACTGGTGTGCAGTGCCACCTAAAGATTATCTGGAGAGTAGATTCTTGAATCTTTGCTGCAGCTGATTTCCTAGGCACCCTGCTCCACATTCTTCCCCATTTAATGGGGTTATTATCCTAACCCAAATCCCTTTCATAAAACCATAGAATTGTGGAACCTTTGAGCCCCTTCCATCGCTATGGTTCCATGATTTAATGTATTTGGATTCTAAACTGTACTTGTTTTACCTGGGATGAGGTAGAAATCACAGAGAAGGAGGCACATTTCCTGCTCTCCAGCCTTGGCTGGCTGATATTTTCAAGAAGTGCAAGCTTGGGTGTGTTTCTTCCTCTTCCTCCTCCAAGGAAGGCCTGCCTGCGCCTCCTTCCTCCCCAAGAGATTAACGCGGAATTGGATTTATTTTAAAAATAGAGATCTCTCTTACCAGATTAAGTTGTGATGTTCTGGGAGCAACAGTCATTAATTAGGGGAAATTGAGATATTCAGCAATTAATGGGAATTGTGGCACATCTTTCTGAGATAATTCCATGTAAATGACTCACGTAATTATCTGTATTTTGAATAATTAAGGAGGGGTGAGTGTAACTGTTTAACCTCTTGCTGTCTGTTGCTGCAAGGGAGTCTCTGACTCTGTCCTCACATTCACACCTCCTCACTGGAGAGATAATTGGGCCAAAATCCACTCATCTCCCCCTCTGACCAGAAGCAGCAGCAGCAGCAGGAACTGTTCAGACAAGCCGGCCAACATCACAGCCTCCAGGCCATTTCACTCAGCTTTCCCTCACAGAGACAGAGTGTTGCACAGCGAGGGGACATCAATGAAAAAGAGAGTGCAATACTTGTGAATAAATGTTTCTTGCACAAAGAAGAGAGAGGCCAGGAGCACCATGGAAGGTTTTGGCTGTCTTCCCTACCCTACCCTGCCCTGCTCATCTTTTCCCTCTTAGCAGCCCAGTGTCTGCCTTCCTCTAACCATTGGTCTCCCCTAGCCTCAACAAACTTTTTTGAAATAAATTAAAAAATTGTTCAGTAGCACCTTAGAGACCAACTAAGTTTGTTCTGGGTACACAAAATACGAAAGCTTATATGGGAAAGCGTGCCTTGGTTTTGGAACGCTTTGGTTTTGGAACGGAATTCTGGAATGGATTAAGTTTGAGAACCAAGGTACCAAGGTACCAAGGTACAGGAGGAGAGAGGGCTCTTCTGCTCAAAACCTAGAATCCAAGAATTGTAGAAATGCAGCGATTTCAACTAAAGCACCCAACCTCTGCTTAAGAACCACCAGGGAGGGGGCATCCACCATCTTCCCAGGGAGTCCATTCCACTCTTGAGCAGCTCTTACTCTCATAAAGTTCTTCCTGATGTTGAGTCCGAATCTCTTTTCTTGTAACTTGAATCCATTGCTTCAGATCCTCTCCTCTGGAGCACAGAAAACAAGCATGCTCCATCTTCTGTGGGACAGCCCTTCATGTATTTGAAGATGGCTCTCACATCCCCTCCCAATCCTGTCTTCTCCAAACATCCCCAGCTCTCTCAATTGTTCCTCACAAGGCTTGGTTTCCAGACCCTTGATCTTCTCAGTCACCCTCCTCTGCACGTTTCAGCTTGTCAATATCCTCCTTAAATTGGGGTGTCCAGAACTGAACACAGCACACCAGGTGGGGTCTGGCCAAGGCAGAATAGAGAGGGACTATTAGATTTATGGTTACCAGATTTTTTTCAATGAATCCGGGGCCTTTTTCTTTCCTTTTTTCTTTTTTGAAGCTGAGTAGCAACAGGGATACAGTAGTGGGGAAGGTGAGGCAAAAGACCCTGGGCCTAAGCACACATGCATATTGTATAAAGGTGCAAAGCCCTTCTTTCAGACCCTGTGAAACATAAATGTGCAGAGTTTTGAAAAACTGGGCAACAGCGAGCCGCCCACCCATGACTCCTGAGCCTCCCCCGATCAGTCAAAACAAAGGGGGAAGGGGGCAGGAGATCTGTACCACCGGACGTCCCCAGTTCCCCTTTGGCGGTGGTAGCAGCAGCAGTGGCAGTCAGCAGCCCGGAGCCAGCCTGCTAGCGCAGTTGGCTCTGGCTGACTTCAGGAGCTGCTCACTACTCGCTGCCGTGGTGCCCACCATTTTTCCTCGCCGGAAGTTCCCATATGATGTGTTGCACCCAAGACAAATCATACGGGGACTTCTGGCGAGGAAAAATGGCGGGTGACATGGCAGCAAGCAGCTCCTGAAGCCAGCCAGAGCTACCAGGCTGGCTCCGGGATGCTGAGGCTACCGCTGCCATGTTTCCTGGGGATAGATTTGCAAATCTGGGGACATGTTGGTGGACAGCGAATTGCTAACAAAAATAGTGAATTTAAAAGTGCTCCCATTCATAGAGGGGGACCATTTCCCTCCATTAAACGAGTCACCCTTCCTGATAACACAAGTATATTTCTAGCTGAGTGGAGTTCTTGCTCCAGTGAGTTCCTTGTCTCCAGGACCAGGAAGAGGCCAGAGTTAGGCTAAGAGTAAAAATACAATTGGCAAGATGTATTTAAATCACAGAGGATAAACAATGAAAACTCAGCAAACTCTGAAATATAAAGGAAAGAGGCATGCAAATGGGAAAGTGCCGTTTGAGGTGCAATCCATGATTAACTGGAAAAAGAAAACGCAAAAATGTAGAATGAGCTGTAAATACAGAAACAATAGAAAATTAATCTGTGGAGTGAGATAGGGAGATATATGGGGACATTAAAGAGAGCAGCAATTTGACTAATTAACTAAAAGGAATGGCCAACATTAACAAGGCAGCTACCAATAAAGGGTAAAGGTACCCCTGCCCGTACGGGCCAGTCGTGTCCGACTCTAGGGTTGTGCGCCCATCTCACTTAAGAGGCCGGGGGCCAGCACTGTCCGGAGACACTTCCGGGTCACGTGGCCAGCGTGACGAAGCTGCTCTGGCGAGCCGGCACCAGCGCAGTGTGGGAGTCATAAAGCCACGGTAAAGGCTTGTAATATTGCAGGGTGCCCCCTGATCTCGACTGACCAGCACTCTGAGCTTTACAATGTAATGGAATGTATTGGAGCTGTGTTTCCTCTGGGCAGTGATTGACCTTATACGGTGTTGGGGGCAATAAAAGCCTTGACCGGATGAGGTAACGTGAGACACTGGCAAACAGCCATGCGGCTGGAGAGAGACAAAGGATAATAAAAGTAGCTGCAGGAGGAGAGGGAGTTCGAAGGGAGCTGCTCCTACCATCATGAAAATATTGCTGGCTCTCTGTGTCATAATTTTATGCTAAACTTCGCCACTTTGTAACGGCTGGCTCCGACAAGTGGTGCCCCGTGTGAGGCTGAATAAAAGAATACGTCTGAGGACTAAGAGGATTTTAAAAGAAAACCGTGTGAGGCAACTTAAAGAAAACAGTCTGAGGCAGACTGAGGCTTTTAAAAGGAAACCGTGTGAGGTTTATCGATCCTAGCAAAGGATATCATCGGCTCACTACGCCCGGAAAGGGCTTCAAGCGCTAATCATCTTAAAAAGATCCCGGTGAGTTCTGATCCCTTATTTATATTGATTTTAGAAAAATGGGCAGCTCTTTGTCTGCTCCCCAACAGAAATTTTTAAAAGTCTTAAAATTTCTCCTCTCCTCCAACGAATTGGAAGTTCCGGAGGGAGATTTAATACAGCTCATTCTGGCTATCAAAGAGCATTCCCCCTGGTTTCCTGCAGATGGGACTTGGGAATTAAAACTTTGGGACAAGATCGGGGAACATTTTCATGGGCACCCCAGCATAAGTGTTCGGATTTTAAATGCATGGTGCAAGGTTCGTTACGCCATGGACTCTTTATCACCAAAAAATATCTCCATGGCTGCATTGCCAACACAACCTCCAGCTTCCTTACTCCAGCCTGCTGTGTTAGAGTCTATTCCAATACTTGCTTTGTCAGCAGCTCCAGATCCCAAACCTCCAGACTACAGTTCCTCACCAGAGGACCCAATCCTGCAAAAATACCGTGGTCTGGCTGGCAATGATCCTGCTCTTTCAGTGGCAGAACCAGCTACTCCTTTTCAACGTGCAGTCCTTGCCTCTTCCTTAATTCAGGATACTATGGCATTCCCTGTTATTGTGCCCCCTGCTGGTGCCCTGGCAGGCACCCAAGCCCAACACCAACCTTTTGACTTTAAGCCCAACACCAACCTTGCCTCTTCCTTAATTCAGGATACTATGGCATTCCCTGTTATTGTGCCCCCTGCTGGTGCCCTGGCAGGCACCCAAGCCCAACACCAACCTTTTGACTTTAAGATCTTGAGAGAGCTGCAACAGTCAGTAAAGGCCAATGGACTCCAAGCCCCATATACGCAGGCGCTTTTAGAAGCCACATTAGCCCAGCTCTTGGTTCCAGAGGACATCAAGCTTTTGGCCCATACAGTGTTGCCCCCATCAGCTGGTGTTTTGTTTGCCCACGAATGGGAAACTGCCTGCCGTGCTTATGCTCCAGCCTTTTTACAACAAGTCAGAGGAAATAATCCAAATGTTACCCTCGCAGACGTCGTAGATGCCATGTTGGGGCGTGGTCCCTTCGCTCAAGCTTCAGTGCAAGCCACACTGCTGCAAATCTTATTGAGGGACACTGCTCTTGCTGCTAAACAAGCAATGAGAAAAATCCCAGAACCCCCCAGTATTCAATCAAGGTGGGGTTCAATCAGGCAAGAGGCAAGAGAATCATATTCTTCCTTTATGGACAGGCTGCTTACAGCAGTGAGTCGCCAAATTGAAAATCCTGAAGCCAAACAAATAATTATCAAACAATTGGCCTTTGAAAATGCCAATGAGGATTGTAAACTTGCATTGCGACCGATAATACACAATCCTGCCACAGACACAGCTGCCATGCTTCGCATTTGTCAGTCTGTCGGAACAGCCAGCCACAAGGCTCATCTGCTGGCAACAGCGCTAAATGAAAACCAGCCTGTAGCCACCGATACAACTTGTTTCCAGTGTGGCAAACCAGGATCACCGATACCCCAGTGGGGGTAGAACAGTGGCCTCTACCAAAAGAAAAATCCGCAGCAGCGGCACCAGCTATCTCTGACCAGCTTATTTCTGAACAATTGACTTTCAGCCACATTGAACCATCTTCATCCCACTGGCTCCAGCAGACAGGGAACGGTTTGCTTTTACATTGCCAGCATATAACAATTCGCAGCCCACCCAGCGATATCAGTGGGTTGTCCTGCCTCAAGGCATGCGGAACTCCCCTACACTTTGTCAACATTTTGTGGGTGAAGCATTGAAACCTTTCCGCATGCGCCACCTAGAGGTGCTGCACACGAACTGCATCTGGCAGTGTTTGCCTTCCTAACCATTTGCCTTGCCATCCTTTGCTGCACCGTTATACAAGGATCCAGCAGACGACCCAGTCCAGCTGAAACCACCATATTTCACCTCATCGGCTGGCAAGCAGCTGTCGCCAGAATCCTACTCTGGCTGGCAGTATCCACGGCTCAGCCACTTTCGAACTAGAAGAACAGCGTTGTTGAATAAGACTTTTAGGGGAGAAAATTATCATAAGATATGGAGGGATAATATTTTTGTACAAGATATGATTATGTTTGCCAGTTTATTGCATGCTTCTAAATGTTGGGTGTGTATGCCAGTCATTCAGGCATAATGCTTCATGGTGTGCCTGTCAATGGATCTTTTCAATTTACTAATATTATATCCCCTAAGCAAACTTTTTGTTATTTTCAAATTAAGGAGGGGAAAGAATCATGGGGCATATATCCAAACTGTCAATATACATTGAATTTCACTTTTAATAGCTCTTGTTCTCTTACAGGAATATACAGTGACAAATCTCAGTGCTATAGAAGTGACACCAGTGCATGGCTATTAAACTAAAAGGAAGCCTACCATGCAGCTTGGAATCAGAATTCTTATATTCTTGGCTTCCGGATTTTAGTGATCATTATAGTAGTTATTGATTTTAGTGATCATTATAGTAGTTATTTGCATTATTTTGTGTTGCTGTATCCAATGTATTCCTTCTATAATCTCTATATGTACTGCATGGTTCTCCAGTCCGCAGCCCGCTTCCGGTGTCACAAGAGTCGCTTATCGCGTATTGACTCTGATATAAAATAAAGAAAGAGGGCATGTGGGAGTCATAAAGCCACGGTAAAGGCTTGTAATATTGCAGGGTGCCCCCTGACCTTGGCTGACCAGCACTCTGAGCTTTACAATGTAATGGAATGTATTGGAGCTGTGTTTCCTCTGGGCAGTGATTGACCTTATACGGTGTTGGGGGCAATAAAAGCCTTGACCGGATGAGGTAACGTGAGACACTGGCAAACAGCCATGCGGCTGGAGAGAGAGACAAAGGATAATAAAAGTAGCTGCAGGAGGAGAGGGGAGTTCGAAGGGAGCTGCTCCTACCATCATGAAAATATTGCTGGCTCTCTGTGTCATAATTTTATGCTAAACTTCGCCACTTTGTAACGGCTGGCTCCGACAGCGCCGCACACAGAAACGCCATTTACCTTCCCGCTATAAAGCAGTACCTATTTATCTACTTGCACTTAATTGTGCTTTCGAGCTGCTAGGTGGGCAGGAGCAGCAACCGAAAGACGGGAGCTCACCCTGCCGCGGGGATTCGAACCACCAACCATACGATTGGCAGGTCCTAGGCACTGAGGTTTTACCCACAGCGCCACCCGCGTCCCTTACAATAAAACATGTCTATTGCTAAGTCTTCAGGCCCATCCTAAGAACTTCCTCCTGCCCAGACCAGTAACGGAGCAATCCTGTCTACGTATCTCCACTCAGAAGCAACTCCCATTCAATCCAATGGAAGCCTCTCCAAGGGAAGGTGAGAGCCGGCTGAGAGGTGACCTAAGAGACATCTTCAAATACCTGAAGGGCTGCCACATCCAAACGTGACTGTATTGGATTTTCTTGGCAGTTAGCTATTTACATGTGTGTCTCGTTTAATACTTCTGTTGAGTTAAGAGCTCCCAGTTCACTCAACAGCTCTGACATGTGCCGGGTTCAGCATTGGAGCTAAGGAATCCTGTTGCTGCAAGACCACCGTGGAGAAGGTGCCCAGGAGTGCCCAGCAGGGGTCTGCAGCTTTGGTCCTCAGGGCTAAAGAATCGCTGACCGATGTCCACCCAGCCTCTGCTTAGGCTCCATCCTTTGTGTGTTTTCTGGGTCTTTGGCAGATCTGAAAGACAAGGCTTCTCTCTCTGCCACTCTCTCAGCCTTCCAAAGAGAAGTGAGTCGCTGTTTACAAGTCCAGCTGGAGAGACCCATGAATGAAATAGGGGAGAGATGTTGTCGTGAGTAATCCCCCTCCCATGCCTGACTCACTCTGTGAGTCGCTCAGGATGGCCAAAGGGGGTGGCAGCTGCTGCTCCCGCTTACCTGCTTGAGGTTTCTCCGCTTGCCTTTGCAAGCCAGGTGGCTGAGCTGCTGCTCCTGTTGCTGCTCCTGACATGGTGAAACCAGTGTCTGTGTGCAAAAGGCAGTCAGGCCTTTATTGCTTCCAAAAATAGATGCTGTTGTGCTGTAAAAATGTGGATTATGGAAATTCCAGAGTTTGGATTGAGCTGAGCTTTAACTGCAGGTGCAGGGAGTGCTCTGAGCAGTGGGTGGAAGGGCGTCCGAATAATTTTACACATCACTCAGGAAGACAGGTGAACTAATGCCAGTGTACTGGAAGAAGCAAAGATCCCCAGTGTCAAAGCAATGATTCTTCAACATCAACTTCATTGGACTGGTCATGTTGTGTGGATGCCTGATTATCATCTTCCAAAGCAACTACTGTACTCTAGTCCGAACTTAAAAATGGAAAGCGTAATGCTGGTGGTCAACAAAAGAGGTTTAAAGACTCATAGAATCATAGACTCATAGAGTTGGAAGAGACCACAAGGGCCATCGAGTCCAACCCCCTGCCAAGCAGGAGACACCATCAGAGCACTCCTGACATATGGTTGTCAAGCCTCTGCTTAAAGACCTCCAAAGAAGGAGACTCCACCACACTCCTTGGCAGCAAATTCCACTGTCAAACAGCTCTTACTGTCAGGAAGTTCTTCCTAATGTTTAGGTGGAATCTTCTTTCTTGTAGTTTGGATCGATTGCTCCGTGTCCGCTTCTCTGGAGCAGCAGAAAACAACCTTTCTCCCTCCTCTATGTGACATTCTTTTAGATTTGCCTTGACTCTCTCAAGGCAAATCTAAAAAAATGTAGTATACACACTGACAACTGGGCAACACTGGCCTGCGAGCGCTCCAGTTGGAGAACATCCTTGACCAAAGGTGCCATGGACTTTGAAGACACTCAAACTCAGGACGCAAGGGAGAAATGTGCTAAGAGGAAGGCACGCTTGGCAAATCCACACCAGGATCAACTCCTGCCCAGAAACCAATGTCTGCACTGTGGAAGGATGTGTGGATCCAGACTGGGCCTCTAACATAAGTTACAGACTCTTTTTTAAAACCGTGTTTTTGGAAGACAATCTTACTCGGCTATGAGTGATCGCCAAAGAAGAAAAAGAAGAAAGTGTGTCCCATAGTCATTGCCTTGCCCTATAGAACTCTGGAACTCCCTGCCACAGGAGGCAGCGATGGCCACCAAGCTAGATGGCTTTAGAAGAGGATTAGAGGAATTCATAGAATCATAGAATCATAGAGTTGGAAGAGACCACAAGGGCCATCGAGTCCAACCCCCTGCCAAGCAGGAAACACCATCAGAGCACTCCTGACATATGGTTGTCAAGCCTCTGCTTAAAGACCTCCAAAGAAGGAGACTCCACCACACTCCTTGGCAGCATCAACAGCATCATGGAGGAGGAGAGGGCTACCAAGATCTCCTAGCCACAATGGCCCTGCCCTGCCTCCACAGCTGGGAGGGAAGAGGACTCGGTGCTCAGCTCCTGCTTGCTGGTTTCCAATGGGGGCGTCTGACTGGCGGTTGTGAGAACAGGAAGCTGGGCTAGATGGACTCCCTCTGGCCTGATCCAGTGACAGGGCTCATCTTACGTTCTTAACACTACCTGCTGCCAGTGGTGGAGGAAGGGGGTTGCATAGGGGTGGGCTGCCCCAGGTGTCCCCATTGAGGGGAGTGACAAGCTAGACGTGGACGACCTCCTGGGCTGCTAAACCAAAGCTGCTTATGCTCACAATGTTCAGTAAATAAACCAGAAAGTAACACTTGCAACTGTAAGTATCTTGTTTTTCCTTCTTTTAATAAGTTCAATGTGGCAGGAGGGTGTGACAAGAAATTTTCCACACTGGGTACCACCTGACCTTGCTACGCCTCTGTCTGCTGCAGCCACCAAGACGACACCAACACAGCTGGTCACTAAAGCATCAGTCCAGAGGAAGTTTCTTCTGGGCAACTATATGAATAACCCCCAGGATAGCTTCATTTGTGTTGGTGGCTCCATGTGCTAGTTTTTCATTATTATTATTTTTAAAAGTGAAAGAAGAAATATTGACTAAAAGTTCCAGGAATAATGGCACTGAAGTCTCAGACCAGCTTCCTGCAGATTCTATGCTAGGCTCCACTAGGGAAGGAGTTGGAAATAAAACTGTCAATATCCTAATTCTATGGTGTGGCTGCATTTGGAGCACTGTGTGCAATCCTGGTGACCTCACCTCAAAAAGGATATTGTAGAGTTGAAGACGGCTCAGAAAAGGGTCACCTCAGCTATGGAAGTTTGCAGCGTTTGTGATTTTTTAGTTTGGAGAAAATGTGAGTAAACGGCAACGTGACAGACATTTATTTATTTTTATTTTTAATGACATGGGATGGACAAAGTGGATAGAGAAAAATGTTTCTCCTTCTCTCCTATAGCTAGAACTTGTGAATGTTGGAAGATTCCAGACAGGTCAAAGGAAGTCCTTCTTCATGCAGCACAGTTTAAACTGTGGAACTCCCTCCCACAGGAGGCAGGGATGGTCATCGAGCTGCTCGTCATGATGGCTGTGTTCCACCCTGCCTAGTCAGGGAGAGCGATGTTTCTGAATCGCTGTAAA